CTCCGACATTTATCAGTTTACAAATCGACTTCAACCTCGAAAGGAAAAGTTCCAGCTTGAGCTCCATTTCCTTAGCCCTTTTTTGTAGGGTATTTAATAATACGTTTCCAAAATGTTAGCTCGACGCGCGCGAGCGCGAGCGCACGAAATTTGTCACGACACATGCCGCACATTTTTTGGAGTTATTTTTGTTTTTTGTTTTTGTATTTTTTGGTGGCTCTCCAGTTGTGAGGGCCAAGAGCGAGACCAATCCAAGTAGCTATTGTGACGTACGGTGACAGACAGGCAGGCGAGCGGGCGGGTTGTTCGCTGTCTGGACTGGGCGTTTGATCTTATCTCAAATTCCTGGTGGTCACTTTTCTATCCAAAATATCATTTCGTTTAAATAGTCTGCCCTTTTTTAGGTCTCGTTTGTTGTTTCTTTCACATTTTTGTGTGTGTGTTTTGTTTTGAAATGCAAGTAATTAATTCATTTCGCTGCTGCGTCGCCCTCGCGTGTTGGTGTCAAGAAATATCAAAATATCACATCAAATAAATGTTGAATACGCTACAACGAGCTGCAAGGGCTGTGCCACTCCTCCAATCGACCCTTCCACCGCCGTTGCCCTGGCTAACACCTCTCTGAACTTTGGCCCAAAGCATTTTTTGTTTATACCCTGAGACCATTGAAGATGGAATTTAGGGTATACTGAGCTTGTTAAAATGGTTAAGATCTACAAAAACAGACTTGGCCGATATGTTCGTTCGTCACTTTTAATACTTGACAACTACTTGACACATACTTGACAACAAATTTTCGATAGCTAATAATTGATTTGATGAAATCAATTGAAGTTGGTATGAATATCATTTTATTCCTGTTTTGGGCATAGATCCTTGTAAGTTATATACACGAAACAAATAATCTCCTTTTAGCAAAACTTGTGCAATTCTCTTCAGAAACGCTGCCAGCTGCAGGGTATCTGCTAGTCGGGCACTCTTACGTTGTCACTCTTAGCTGCTTTATTTTATTTCTTTTAGCTAACAAGTCGCAGCGACATTTATGTTAATTTTCGTGTTCGGTTTCTTTTTCAGCTCTATTCATATTTCATATTTTTTTCGTATTTTCACGTTTTCACATTTTTGCTTGCGTGTTAGCATATTGCCCCGCCCCCAGCATTAAAAGAGGGAAATGCCGCGACAAAGTGGTGGATCGTTTAAAAAACAATAAAACACGATGCACACATAACTCTTTAGCTACGAACAGTAATTAAATTGTTATGCCACACGTTGGACATTCGATTCTCAATTAAAATAAAGCGCAATAACCGTTAACAAATACAGGCATTGTATGCAGCTTGATTTAGAGTGCCACAGGAGTTCTAGATAATTTGTTAATTGGGTGGGAAAAGCGCTAATCTTGAAATTTGAAATATCTTTATAAATATCTTATGTAATAACCTAGTTGAATGAACTTTCAGTTTTAAGGAATTAACTGAGATGAATGATATTTTCTTGTTCATCTGCTTAGGCACCAAACAATAATAAAAAACTTATTGAATAGATACAAATTGAATACTTTCTATATAATAGCACAATTAATTATTGTGTAGCCTGATTATTTTATTGGCTGTGCTTGTCGAAACCTAGGCAAAGACAACTGAATTTACTGTTCAGAATCTCAGAGATGTCGAGTATTCTGCAGTCGAGTACGCCCGCCTGTACCGCTTTTGCTTGTGAAACTTTGCATTTGACTCAGACATTATTTTTATACGGCTAATAAAAAACATTCTGAATTTAAATCTAATGTAAAGTATTTCTATTTATTGATTGAAATGTCCTACTGTACTCAGTGTGCATCTCTTACATTGCTATTACTCATCCAGCTACCGATTTGTATCTTTAACCTGAGCGACTCTGTCGATTGACAAATTCCAGGCCAAGTTGTCAATGGCGATTCGCTTGTAAGAATTGTAATTAATCTTTGGCTAGCTCACGGGCAGTAACTCACACACTGTGGAAATAGCAGTGGCTAGCTTTTCAGTTTCTTGCCCCTCCGGCCCGGACTCTACTTATCGCTTAACCTTTTCCGTGCTTGTGATATGGTCTGGTTATTGAAAAATGCTGATTAACACATTAGAGCTTATTGAATTGAATGCAACGAATGTGAATATGAATGTGAATACGAATGGGAATGTGAATGTGAATGTGAATGTGAGTGTAGATATTTCTCATACACGTTTTACTGCCAAGCTTCTGCTGTGCGTGAATGCCAATATGTCGAATGCTACCATTTATAACCATGATCGCTGATTATGCTGTTTCTCTGACTGAAAATGGATAACATGACAGATGGACTGAAGCAGGCATGTGCGCGCACAGCCAGAGATCGAGACTGAGCCCGAGACCGAGACCGAGTCCGAGTCCGAGACTAAGATTGAGACTGAGACTGCGACCGAGATCGAGACCAAGACGCTGATCATGAGACTGAGACCTGCTCCCCAGCTCTTGCAGTTGGGACTCAGTGACAGTTCGGTTGCAGCGTGGCTCAAATGAACGAACTCTTTATTTAAATAATCATTTTTTCTGACAGCCAGCTTGACTTCCAGATCGACATCCACTACCAGCTACTCTCGGGCCTCAGCGACAACTGCCGCGCGAGTAGTCGAGCTTCTTTCTTGATATTCATTCCGAGCTGCATTTCTTATATTTTATTATGATTTTTCATTTTCTTTTCATTTTCTTTTCTTTGCACGCTTTAATTGTTTGTTTGACTCGCCGTTTAAGCGCCCCGTATGAACGTGTGTCGTCTATCTCTTGCTCTCTCTCTCTCTCTCCGTCTCTCTTGCTCTTGCTCTCTTTAAGTTTCCGCGCTCGACCGTCATTGTCAGCTTCCCTTTTGGGTGCGGCGCGTGGGGATCTCTGGCGTCGTTTAATTGAATACGATGCATGTAAATGACACTTTTCAGCATTAATAAGCAAATATTTGTATGATTATTGGTGTAGCAGGGGGATTACGCTGCAGCTTCAACTATTGCAAGGTAGAAGCTCGCCAGCTCTGATATCTGATTGGAGTCGTTCTGCTGTCGCAACAGGTAAAGTGCTTAACAAGTTTCGAAGTCTGGAAGTCAAATGTGTCTGTCACATCAATTTGGCCAACAGGTTCAGAGAAGCTCGAGAGCATGTATTCAATGTAGTTGTGAATCACTTTCAGTAGCGGCTCTTCATAGAAATAAAAATATGCTCTCTTATGCGATATAGTTAAAGGAATATGTAAGTAGTTGAAACTGGAAAAATAATTTTAGTTGCTTCTCAATGACTGAAAGTTGTGGAAGAGCTCTTAAAATTTTCAAAACTGAATCGCTGCTTAAAGGTAGACAACATTTAAAAAATTACATAAAATCTTAGAGAATATTATTTCTGAAGAAAACACTTATTGCATTTATATTCATTGTAATCTTCTATCTTGACTTTACGCAAAGTTAAGACGTGTATCTTTATAATACATAAAGAAATTCTGAATAGATGTGCCCAAGCAATTTTTGGATATTTGACTATTTTAAGTCTTTTATTGAAAGTGGAGACACAAGAGTTTATAGATGATTTATGAATCAAAAAGATATTTTGACAAACAGGTAAAAATAATAAATCCACACTCTATATACACATTTTATTAAGTGTAGCTTGCAAACCATCAAAACCCTATGTAAGAAAATATTAAATGCCTCATATTTAATTTTATAAATTTCGCAAATATATTATCATGAATTTCAGTTTGATCTTTGAGTATGTTTCTTAGGCTGGCTAATTCCAAGATACAAAACTCTCGACGCAGTGACAAGTGACAACCTGACTGACTGCACAGCATTGACAAAAATTATCTGAAATATGCAAGAATTATGCGAAGGGCTAGTGGAAGGGATGGGAGAGAGGGGAGCTCTAAAGCAGGCAGAAATCATTATGAGAGGCCGTCAGGCGAAATCTTTGGCATTTGAAGAGACATTCTTATTTTTAGGTGACATACCCTCGGTGGGACGTCTGACGCACTTGGCTGTTGCACGCATATATCTGGACTGTCAATCAGTTTTGAAAGTCATCGTTTTTTTTGAGTTTTTCTTGTATATCATTTGGTTTTATTCAACTCTTTCTCTCAGTTTTATATTGCTTTTGGGCTTGTAATATATCTTCTTGCGAATACTTGTACAACAGGTTTAATATATGATGCCTCAATGATCAAATACCTATGAAATATTTGCCCAAACTCAAATATATTTTTAAGAATATTTGATATTTTATAGATTTGAAACAAAAGTGTATGAGTACCAATTTTATTAGTGTCAACCGAACAAAGAGAGTATAGGTTATAGGTTAAATATATATTTGATTAATATATATGAAATCATACGTTTTATTCAATGGTTAAAGTATTTAGTATTATTTACAAGGCCTGTTCGAAAATTATTCAGCAATTGTGATTTTTAATTTACACGGTTTTTACTCAAGTCCCTTACTTAAGCCGATAAGTTCAGCCGTTTTGTTCAGTTCATTTTTGAGAGTTGTTTTGGTTTAGCCGTGTTTTGGCTCGTCTTCGAATTGTGTCTAGTTCCCTGCTCACTCATCGTTACGAGTTGGAGATAAGGAGAAGTGTTGAAGAAGCCAAACAAAATAAAAAAAAAAATAATTTTTTGAGCGGGCCGAGAATCGGAAAAAACGTTAGCACAAGTATTTAATTTGCGGTGGGGATTACTTTGAATAGGTATTCAATAAAAATATAATATTTGGAAAATTGAACAATTTGCAACTGTGTTTGAACAGACCTCGTACAGTTACATATATAGTTTATCGATCCCTTTTCTTATGTTCATATAAAAATCTGTACTTTCGATCATTACAATTATAATAAAAATATTTATTCGCATCATCAATTTTCAAGTCTCTCTTCATTATTACTTACTTGGATCATATCTGTATATATATATATATATATATATATATATTTATCAATTGTGGTTAACACTCACCTTGTGGCTTGGGAACATTCCGCTTGAGCTGCATCCATTTGTACGTTGGAATGTTTGTCGCGTGATTTGGTGATTTTGATTGGGAGTTCGCTTGGTGCGTGGAGTTAGCTGCGGACACAGATGCGGTGGATGATGATGTGGAGCTGCCAGGTGAGGTGACGCCACTGCCCCGTTGATTCCGTGCCATAGACAAACAGTTGTTGGAGCTATTAGGCGATATCGAATGCTGTGGCACGCCCTGAGCAGGAGCACTGGTTGCATGTTGCTGTAGTTGCTGTTGCTGTTGCTGTTGCTGTTGATGTTGCTGGTGTGCGCTGCCAGTTAAGCTGGGTACATGTCCATGACTGAGACTGTGATGTAGATGAGCGTGCGGATAGTCCATGGCGATGCCTGCATCCAAGGCGTAGCCACTTCCCATGTGCTGATGATGATGCCACATTTGTGGCGACGACTGTTGCTGTCCGGCAGCCAGCTGCAACATGGCATCCGACGGATCCTCTAGCAGCATGCCAGGTGCTGCAGCCGCATAGCCCGCATGCAGCACTGCAGCATATTTCTCCTCCATTTGGCTGGCATAGACATGCGGTTGCGTCTGCGCCACACTTGGCGAGTAGAGACAATCCAGATTAGTGTACATCATTCCATTCTCCGAGCTAATAATGGGCGCATGCGCATCCAGAGCCTGCTGCTGCTGTTGCTGCTGTTGTTGCTGTTGCTGCGTGGCATTGGTCGCTGTCACCGGCGAATTGTTGGCGGGTGGTGGTACCGTTGCTACTGCGGCTGTGGCATAGTATGGGTTCACCGAATCACTGTCGTAGTAGGAGTCGGCAGGCGAGTGGCTTGTGGGATGTAATGGAGTGCTATTGGATGTTGCAACAGCCGCCGAAGTTGTGATGCCGTACTCCGCTGCACTGGGACTAAACAGGTGCGAGTGCGGGTAAAGTTGTTGCTGTTGCTGCTGTTGCTGATGCTGTTGCTGTTGCTGTTGCTGCTGTGCGAGTGGATGTTGCAGTTGGTGTTGGGCTGGCGGTGGCGTTAGCTGTTGCTGATAGTAATTGGGCGAGTTGCTGTCGTAGCCATTGTAGACCAGTTGCTGGTGTTGTTGCAGCTGCTGCTGCTGCTGTTGGTGTTGTTGATGTTGTTGCTGCTGCTGCTGCGGTTGCTGGATGTGGTGGGTCGGGGAGGGAAAGTAGTTGCTGCCATAGCCATCGTAGGCTGTGGCAGTAGCATGTGGATGATGATGTGGATGGTTGCCGTACATGCTGCTAACGTCCATCATATTGTAGGCCAAAACTGCACTCAACAAATTTGATTGCCTGAAAAAGTGGGGAAAATAGGGAATGTTGCCTAAAATTTGCATCTAATATAAAAACAGGTGGCTTAAGTACGTATTGCCTCAAATTTTGAGAATATTTCAAAGTCTCCTTCATCAAAAGATTAGGCAATACGTCTTAGAAGCCTAGAACGGCTTGATCTCGACTATATATTTAAGTTTGTTTTTTTTAAACATAAAACTAACTTTTTTCAAAAAATGATTTTGTTGAGTGTGCCCAGCAGCTTGTCGAAACACGTTTTTATATATTTCTTTGATTTAAGACACGCGCCTTTCGTTTGATTTTCAATACACTTTGACACACTGACATTAGCAGTTATACGAAGCACGACATAACTGTTGACAATTACAGTTCCGACGGTTTCTCCGTACTTTGTTTTACGCGACGGTTCTCGAACTTCGTGCTGCGAGCGCGCTAACCAAGTGGTGACTGATTGCTGGTCGGGCAGCCAACAGCAAACCACACACAGAGACGCCTGGCATGCATGCAGGCCACGCCTCTGTGAGTGAGCACGACTGTCGTCTCGCTTGCGCACACACTGCTGTTCAATGACTGAGTCGGTTGGCTAGTATATTGGCAGCTCGCTCGCGCAACTGTTTCGTGCTGAGCTCTTATCAGAGGACTGTCGGCAAACGGTAACGGGGGTTAGATATTACCGGTTTTGGCAGTTGCTGTTTTCATTTAGACTTTTTTGCCGGTCCCTTGGCAAATGCTGATATTAGAGTTACGCCCATGTTTCATGTCTTATTTAACTGGAAGTGACACACGCACACACAAACACACGTACACTGACACACACATATGCACATAGTATATATTTAATTTTTTGATACTTTTGGCACGTTTTGTTATTTTTTTTTTGGATTTCGCACCTATACACAGTTAGAAACTCCCAAGTGAATTGACAATGCAGGTAGTGGCCAAAATTTGGTCAACGAAGCTTCAATGGGATGTGCGCCAGCTGTGCAGCTGTCAATCGTCATCATCATATCCACATATGACAGACCCATCTATGGCTGCTGCGGAATTTTAATTCGTCTCGTCCCGTTTCTGTGTCTGAATCTGTGACTCTGCCTCTGACTCTGGCTCTGACGCTGGCTCTGACTCAGTGGGATGCAATTCGTAGGCGCCCCCTACGAGTCTGTCACACTGCCCAGATAGAGATACCAACATTCAGATATCTTTATGCTCCGTACTCTGGCAGTGCACCTTTCACGCACAATGCATCATTTTTGGCTGCCTGTCTGTTCCTGCTGTCTGGAAAACTTTTGTATGTTTGTTGCTGTTGGTTTTCTCCTTTATTTACAAGTTGATTGACATTTTCACAAGTTTTTGTCGTGTACTCATAGTTGTTTGATTTAGCTAACCGTGCCCAATCCCTATCCCAATCCCAGCCCGAAACGCAAACTGAATCCACTTTCCAATCCCCTTTGCAGCGTAAGTATCTCGTCCTTTTGCGCCTCTGCCCAGCGCTCCAAGGTGATTTGTTATATTTTCGGACAGCAGCAATTAATAGTAACAGGATGTGTGTTTTTATTTTCAGCTTCAGCTTCCAAGCGCACCCAACTTCGATCCCACTCCGCGTCCACTGTCCCACATCGTGACGAGTGGCAATATTCTCCCTAAAACTCACTCACATGGGAATGAGGTTAGCAAGAGAAGGAAATTACGTCTTATTTAGAATTATAAAGGTGTAGAGATGTTAAAGTCTATGAAGGCGATTGAGCCGAAATAGAATACGCTATCTACAAAAAATATTTAAAAACTATTGCTTTGTGCGAGAGTGTAATGCATTAGAAAAGAATTAGAGCACCTCATGAAGCAAATGCAAGTATAAATATAAAATATATCTTTACTTTTATAAGACATTATTGCTGCTTAATGAAGTCGAACTCGTCTTTCCGCTGCTAAACCAGATATGTGTAGACTTCCTGCAGAGCTCCACTTGTTGTGCTTTAAGTGAGTAATACTTGGGTTTTATAGCAGCTGCTCATAACTGCGATTTATCGAAGAAATTCAAATGGCTGTTTGCACATGCACTCCTATTGGAATTCGAGATTTGGGCACAATCCTCAAATATGAAAATTGTCCATTTTTAAAAGTAGGCACAAGCCCATAAGTAGTTTTAATTAATTTAATTTAATTTAATTGTTAATTAATTTAAATTTTAATGTGTTCAACTCTAAGAGCGTCAGAGATATTCACAAATCGACGGTCAATTGGGAAAGATGGGCTAACTCAACTCAGCGTTCATCGACTAATAAGCTATGATTATTGGGAGCTGAAGATTCATGAGTCAATAACTAATTCATAGCTTGATTATCTAGAGACAAATCGACACGATTGTGGCTCTCGCTCAAGTTTATATAAACTTTATGGGATTGGGCACACTCTCTACTGTCCCGACTATACATTTTATTTGGAAGTCAAGTAATACACTACAAAGGAATTGACTGATATCTGACCAATTAACAGTCACTATATATTGAAAGGGTTGATTTAAAAGAAACATACAGAACATTGCTTCGTCGTTCGTTAGATATAAAAATGTAGAAAACAATCAATAATCAGAAACGTGTTACATGCTAGAGCAGATAGATAATTAAATGGTTAAAGTTAGTTTGAAATACTTGTTGTTGTTTTACCAAGTGCAATAATTCCATTCATTTAAAACAAAAACAAGTTTCGCTTACTTTTATTATTTGAATAGTGTTGGGCTTGATGGTCCGCTCTGTTATAAGTCTTTGCTGTCTAACATTTGTAACCATATCTTGCAGGCTCAGCTTATGCTACATGGTAATTAACTTATCATAATGGGGATGGAGCTCACTGGTCACATGGAAGCCGAATCATCAAACTGTCTAAGTGCTTTTGACGCCGTCGGAAGTATGATCCGATAGGCGTCAATATGGTCGGTCGGCCGACAATAGAATGATATTTTGTCTTAACTCATTACACGAAACAAGTAGAAGTGCTCTCGTCAGAAGAACTGGACTGTGACATACCCTGCAAAGAGCTGCTGCTTTAATCATTCTAGGCTTCTTATGCGTACACATGCAAACACAGACAACGAGAATTTAGTTACTTTATAATTTTTTTTCAATTTTAATTTAGTCAACAGCTGTGTATTTATTATTAGAATGCAATTAAATTCGTTGTCTTTAGTAATGCTTCAGTACACAACTTAGCATATCGATTTTGATCGATGTTAAGGAAGCATGATGGAATATCGAACAAAAATTATAAAGCGAACGTTAAACAAGATTAACTATTGTCACCCTCAAGTTGCTAGCTTTTGTAGTTGCCAATGTCAGGTGGATGTCGGATATGTTGAAGACAATTTAGCAAGTTATCAAGATAAAGAATACATATATACTTTAAGCCTTATGGGGCTGCACAGACCTCCTTCTAGTTGCAACATACATTTGCTACATTTTCTCAAAAACATCATATCCAATTCAGCCGCTTTCATTGTGCTTAGGGTATAAAAAGAAATGACCAAACCTCTGACGCCAGTGTCTGAGAGGAGGTGGGGATGCCTCGTTACAAAGCGACTTTGAATGTTGTTGTCACTTGCACTGGCAGCTGCCTCTGTCCATAGCCAAGAGCGTGAGGTGGACTGACAGTGGGAGAGAGAGAGAGAGAGATAGAGAGAGGGAAGGAGAGACAGCGAGAGACAGAGGTAGAGGGAGACGTGACGAGTAACGGTAACAGTAACAGTCGTAATTGGCGCTGCACAAATTGATGGATTGCCCGTCGCGACGTTCCAAGCTTCTCGTCTGTCCCAGTGGCGGCCTTTTGTAGTTTTTCCTTTATATACATATATTTTTTTATATATATATTTATTTCGGTTAAATCGATATTTGTGCCATTTTTTGTGCAGCTTTTGACTTTTGTATTTGTGTAATGATTAATTAATTGTACGTGCTTATCGGGCTTCACTGTCGCCTCTTGCAGTGACGACGCCTGTCGCCAAATTGTTAACTGCGCTTCTTTCAGAGCCTCTTCTAATTGAATATGTAATTACTAGTCTTGCAGACGTCCTCATTGTTTTAATGAATACGATTTTAAGCTGACTATTGGTCGAAGACCTAATTGGAGCATAAATTCATCACAACTAAATCGTTTTAAAATGCAGCAATAGGCGCACAGGCAGACAAAGTCTCTTCTCAGTGATTGATATATTTAAGTTCATATCAAGGAATTGTAAACTAATTAGGTGCATGCTCAAACTATTTAAGCCCCAATAACATTATTCTGATCTGAGATCGAAGGCATACAGTTTTTCATTTTTGTGCAGCAAATTGTTTTAAATTGTTATGTATTCTGTAATCGCACTTGTAATCCTAATTGTTGTTATGCTTCCTTCCAAGATTGCTTAATTTACTAATATTTCTACTAGGAACACAACAGATATTTTTATGGTGCACTTAAATAATACTAACACAAGTAATAGTGTTCTAGCAGGGACTGTCCGACTAGCAGGTACCCTGAACTATACTCTTATATAATCGAATTGCTTCTTTTATACATACATACATTACAAACAATACATGCACCCTCACACATACGCACGCACGCACACATAAGTGCGCGCTCTGCTTACTGCGCAGTTGACGCAGCGACTGCGCTTGGATTGAAGACTACAGTATGGGCTTTACCTAATAACTTCAATAGCTTTTATGCTAGATGGACTGTATTATTCCAATTTTTCAAGCTTGATAATAACATTTATATGTGTGTTGGCCAAAACACAAGTTTCTAGTATTTAATAGAAGTTTTTTTGCGTATTAAGTTAGAAGAGGAGTGCTTTGCAAAATCCAAATTATGCAAGTTCTCAGTATCATAGCAAAACTGAAGTCTCTAACTTATTATTATATTAAGCCTACACTTATAATATATAATATTATAATAATAATATTATAATAATAATTATTGATTTTTATCAATAAAAAGAAAATAATATTAGTATACATTTGAAATTTCACGTCTTCTGTTTTCGCGGCTGCTGTGGTCAGACTGCCGTAGATAAATAGAATAAATAAATAAAATAATATATATACTACATGGGGTTCACGCTTTCTTCTGCCTGTTACAAACATTATAAACATTATCGATTATACCCAGAGCTCCCATTTTCAAAGCGGATATATAAAAAAAGTAAATAAAAATAAAGTTAGTAGTTAGTCGTAGTTAGTCATATAAAAATATTAAAAAATGTCTGCATTTAAGTTGTGATTATGCAACGTTGGGTGCAACATTTTGACAATCCTTATTAAGAGATATTTGAAAACAGTGTCGCTTGTTCCGACGGCTGTTCATGAAATGTTCTTCTGAAAAAATTAATATTCAAGTTTACACTACGCACTGGTCATTTACAATACATCAGTTTTCCAGTTTTTATGTTAAATATTGTACATTTATGAATATGTTAAGTGCGTCACGCCCAGTTTCTCCATTAAAATTCAAACATATTGTAATCATCTATATAGAACTTAGTTGATAGTTAAAGGCATCGTGTGAGTCTAAATTATTTACATTATCTTATATATTAATGCAAACATATACATATATATATATATTTATGCATATATATATTAATTTATATGTAGCTGCTTATATATATATATATATATATATAATAATATAATAAGCAGCTGACTTTAATATTTGATGACATAAATCCTTTTCATTGTTACAGTGTTTACAATATAAATGAATTTACAAATGACCTTGGCTTAATGTAATGCAAAGTTATGCAAAGCTTCCATGTTTAAAATGCTCGTAACGCCGGCACTTTAGCCTGAGGACCCAACTCTTGAGTATCTTTCATTTTTATTTTAGACTCGGATAGAGTTGGAGCGAGACAACTAGTGTCACAGCTCTTATCCGAGTGTGTGTAGCAAGCCAATAGCATTGAAGACGATTTAGCGTCGATCCCGATTGGACTGCAGTTCATCCCCTGTTTTTCTTTGCATAGTCCATCTTCAGGCAGCTGAGAGCAGATGGGCACTCAATTCAGATCTTATATATGCTCTGACTGTAGCTTAACTCGTCAGTTGCAAATTTTGTACAGATGCTAACCGAGGACAAAAGAAACATGTTATATAAATTGCATAGTCGGATACAAAATTTAGGAAATATGGCGACAAACATTTACCATGGATTAATTTTGCAATGTATTAAACATCTTCCGAAAATATATTAAATACATCTATAAATTTTCAAATGTTAATATGAAGTTGAGAAATTTGTGATTTTTAACTAATAATTTATATATCCAATAAGTGTCTAATCACTGGTTGAGTTTCATTGTGATATAAGTATTGAAAATAATAGCGACATTAATAATATTAGTATTCTTTAGAATCAGTATACGCATTGACAATATATTCTTATCTATATATTCGTTTCTTTTTATTATAATATAGTACACAGAGCGGAAGTGAGAAGGAAAGTACAGAACACACATGCACACTTTCATAAACATAAAAAGGTATTTACAGACACACAAAACTTGGTTTGAGCAAAATAAACATATATAATAAAAAATATGTTTTTATGCATATACACTAATACTATTTCGAAGAAAAAACTTTTTGCTTAAAAAACCCCGTCTGGTTCCCGATTCATTTTCGTCTGTTGTTTGTGTATTTATGTGTGTATGTGTACCAAATGAATTCTTCCATTTTTATTTGGATGGTAGTAAGTTTTATTCTTATTGAATATTTCATATTTGAGTAAATATTGGTTCTTCTAAGTACTTTTTGCACTGGGGTTGTTCAGTGTTGTTAGCGCCATCTTTTGGAAATATTGTAAAATTACAAATTGAATAGCCTACGTTTAGGCGGCAAGTAAAATATTTTCTGAATGTCGTGCTGCACCTGATGAATGCAACGTTTATTGAATTGTATTTAAGAGATGTGTATAACAGAGAACTCTAAAAATCGACAATTGAAGAGAGTTTATAGTAAATAAATTAAATAAAAACATGTTAATTAAGGTGAATATTGCTTAACAGTCACTTTTAAAAATGAAACAATTTAGAAAGTGTTACGGTACACAGATAAAGAAAAAGTTCAAAATTAAAAGTTAAAAAAGCTTGTCGATGACCGATGAAGTCGTTGGGATCGTCTCGAATCATATGCAATTCTAGAAGCCATCAGGTTACAGCGAAGCATTGGGTTAGGGTGTTATAAATCTATGTTCAGCTTACTATATAAAGACTCTGACAAACAAAGGAAGACCTGTGTCAATAAATAAAAATCTGTTTACAAACGTAAGAGTCAAGATTTGTTTAAATTAAAATTATGTAAATTATTTTTCCCATAAATTCTGTTAAATAGCGAGTGTTGTGTTCTGATCAGGTTTGTTCCCATTAGGTTATTCAACAGTAAAGACACTATCAATGTGCATCCTCGCTACTCTTATGTTGAGACAAGTCATGATGACTTAAAACAGGGCAAATAATTGCTGTACGATATGAAAGGCTATGGACTATATTTATATATTCGGCTCATGGCTTTAGAGCTGGAGTGCGACTCGATACTGCAGTACTTATCGATAAGTAATCGATTAAAGCCACTTTAGGAAAGCCCAAACTCAAGCTACAGCCCGTGTATCCAGTCGTGACTAAGAGCTATGTCGAACAGACTTTTGTCCACCAACCGCCAGGGGCACACGTTGTTCACCTTAACTCGTCCCCGCAAATGCCATTGTTACCTATAGGATGCCAGCCCTGTTGAAATCGATTATATATGTCAATCACCTGCAAAACGTTTCGTGAATCTTTTAGCTCTAGAGGTAGTGGAACAGAGATACCAAATCTGATGTAACATTTTCTAAATAAACTGGATATTTTTATGCACTGAGCCTAAAAAAAGGGGAAAATTGGTTCGTTCAAATTTCAAAATGCGGTTTGGTCTAAATATATTTAAACCAAAAAAAAAAATATATATATATATATGTAGAGACAGAGACAGAGACAGAGTTATTTAAAGTGATAAAAGTGCTATAGCTAAAAACTTAAAATTTCGATAATTAAGTCTTCCAAATTTGCATTTAGTTTCATGTATATTTTGTACAATATTGTTTTTTTATTTGTCTATATTTTGAATAATGATGCAAAATTGATCGCAATCTGGGTATTGCCCAGTCCTACCAAGGCGTCCCCGACCATTTTGAATGTATTCAAACAGAATTGACACTCAGTTCTGCTCATACTTACTACATGGTAATAATTGTTAGAATTTAACAAAGATATGTTCACGCGCAGAGAATTGTTATACATCCTATTAGATTCAACAAAATTGAAAACAAAATAAGAACTCTAATGAGCGTAAAGTAAATAAATATATCATGTTTTGTACTTGGAATAGGAAGTTTCGACTGTGGCGACAAAAAAACGAGAGCATGCGAAATCCAATTAAAGCTCAAATGAAACCTAACAAATATTTAAGGTCGCGTCTGATCATGCGCGAGGCAGGGGAGGGAGGCGACAACAAAAGGTGCCACAGGTGGAGAGACGTGTGCGTCTGCGCACAAGTGCACGGCAGTCAATTTGAAAAACCGTTGTTATGCATTTGCGCATGCGCTGCATAGCTTATTATTGATAATGGCCCCAAGTGAGGTGTGTGTGTGCTTTCGAAAGCGAAAACAAATGAGCGATCTCATCGATTTAGTGGCTGGTATGCGACTTCTGAGTATCTGAGAGCAATATTAATTCGGCTCGAGTGCGTCCAATTCAATCAAGAAGGCATTATGCCTTTATGGTTGTTGTTGTCATCGTCAGTGCTGCTGTTGTTTTTGTCACATGTGCGCTTAGCCTTGGTTAACATTGTGCTTGGCGGCGATAGTCGCCCGCACCGCTCGCCGTCAACCATCAACCATCGACCGTCGACCATCGAGTACCGAGTACCGAGCACCGACCAACTACTCCTCCTCCACCAGCAGCGGCAGCACCTACTTGGCTTCTAGTCTTGCTCGTCGCTGAGTTTTAGTTATGGTTGCTTTGTATTTTGGTATTGTCGTCGCCGTTTTGTGACGCAACTGCACTCATTTGGTTACGAGTGCGGACACATCGGCGAGCCTCGCAGTGCGGTATAAAAGCCCCTAGTTAGACATCGTTCAAATCAGTTCACAACCAAGTTCGGTATATAGAGCAGCATTCGTCAAACCAAACCTAAAAAACAATGGCATTCAAAGTAAGCCAGCCCCCAGGATTAAGTGACAAGTTGTGTATCTAAATCGTGTCTGTGTGTGTGTTCCATCTATTTGCAGTTCACCATTCTCTTCGCCGCCTGCATCGCTGTGGCCAGTGCTGGAGTTGTGCCCGTTGCCGCACCCTTGGCCGCCGTTGCCCAGGTGGAGGAATACGATCCCCATCCCCAATACACTTACGGATATGACGTTAAGGATGCGCTGTCTGGCGATTCGAAGACCCAGGTGGAGACCCGCGACGGCGACATCGTCCAGGGTCAATACTCGCTGAATGATGCCGATGGCTACCGTCGCATTGTGGACTATACCGCCGACCCGATCAACGGCTTTAACGCTGTGGTTCGTCGTGAGCCTCTGGTCGCTGCCGTGGCCGCCGCTCCTGTTGTGGCAGCTCCCGCTCCAGTGGTGCGCGCTGCTCCCGTTGTTGCTGCCCCAGCTCCAGTTGTCCATTCCGCTCCATTGGCTTATGCTGCTGCTCCAGCTCCCATCATCAAGGCTGCTGCTCCTTTGGTCGCCGCTGGTCCAGCTATCGTCAAGACGCAGTTTGCTTCGCCCCTTATCTCCTACGCTTATTAAACATCAAAATAGGCGCTGTCCGACCTGATAATTGCCGTTAGTTGTTATTGAATAAAGAATGTGATGTCATAGAACAAGTCCGTTGTTGAATTTACTAAGAGCTCGCACAAATACACTCTCATGTATAAGCTCGAGCTCGAGCTGCGCAGTTTGAGCAGCGACTGCTCCTAAGATTTACTATGGGAATTTAACTGATGAATAACTACTCTTCTAGATGGACTTTATTATTCAAATACAGAGCGTTATAGTGACCAGCACTAGTCTCTAGCATTGGCAATACGTCTGTGCGGCATTCGGTATACACGATTTTACAATTCGAATTTCAGTCTCTGGCATTTGCAATTTGCGAGATGGCTGCATTCACATGAACATGAAGAGATCGACTCAGCTCGTCATACTGATCAAGATTCTATATACATTACGCAGTCTGCATTTTCAAAATCATCAAACTCATATGCTCTGAATTCTCATTATAAATGTGTTCAGGATATAAAAATTACATACTTAACGAAAACTCCTCATGTATATTTTCGTTAGTCTTCCTAATCTGAAAAATATGTAAAAAGATCATTTCTGAGCTTGTATATATATATTTAGAATTATGAGGCATCAAATTCTATTAAAGTTGAGCAAATAACAGTTTAACAGGAGTATCTTAGGTCTATATTATTTAAAATATTCTTATAGAAATAAAACTATATTTTAAGCAATGCTGACTATCGATTATTAATACCATATATGGTATATATAAGCTCCAAGTAATCGCAACAGACCTAATCCATGAAAAAATTCCAAGAGAAATTAAAGATATGAGATATAATGATCATGATACTTTCCCTCTTCAGTGGTTGCTTGTATCAAAGTTGGCTGACATTGAACCACTTTAAAGACCCATTAAGTGCGGAAAGCAAAGAATCAATTGAAGGCAAAAGCTCAACGAAATCGAAGCAAAGCCGGCTGAATGTGAAGATCCGTTTAAATGATTCACGTCTGCGACTACGTGAGTTGTCCAAAAGTTCATTTGAAATAGGCGGGCTTGAGCCAAAATAGTTTTTAGGCTTACAAAGTAGAAAACGGGTTTTCACACCGGTATTAACTGATAATGCTTAATAAATACACAATTTGTTTATCACATTTATAAACTTTATTAAGCAGTTAATAAAATGTTAAATGACAAATTTGTTAATACTGAAGTTTTATTAAAATATGTAATTATGAAAGTATATAAGATACGTGTGTGTTTGACTTATCTCTCAGTCTATATAATAGATATATGGAGTTCATTTAATTTCGAGTCTTGCAGATTGGTCATTGGATTATATGTGATACCCACTTGTTGGCAATACAAACACGCTTTAAGACATTTGTCCCTGGTTGTGGTTGTTGGACACATTTTTATAATCGCCTTGTGTCTTTTTTAGTGGCCAGTTACACGAAGCCACCTTGCGCGGCTTTGCGTTTTGTTTCTGTAATTGGAATTGTATTGCCAGATATTTCGTTGTTTTTCTTTGCAGCCACTGTTAGGCCACTGGTACAGCTACTGCAGTAGGTACTCGTACTTCATGGGAACGAGCGCAAGGCACGAACACGCCATTGGAAACGATTCCAAGCGCTGCTCACGAGGTAATTAACCATAAAACCTGACTTTGACCTTAACACTCACCTGTCCCCAGCTGAAGTGGTCGATTTGTATGCCTTGGCATATTTGGGCGTGTAAGGAACAGATGTTATTGGAAGAGCCGACGAGTTGGCCGTTTATGTAGGCTGACAACTGAACGATAAGACAATGCCTGCGATTTAACACAATAAAGACACGTAACTCGTAAGTCCTTTCACCGAGTGACTCCAAAAACTCTGACCTTAACTTGCTGTCCCGTCGACTCCAGAGTGTGGCAATCGCAAGTGCTTTACATCTGAAGACACACCAGACTATGTGGTACTATATATTCAATACGTTCGCCTCAATTTGCGCTGATTGCTGTAAATGTTAACGGCAACAGCAGATGGTAATGCAATGCTGTCCCAATGACCACAATGAGTTGGAAGCATCTGTCGGAAATTGATTTAAAGCATGTATTGTGTGTTTCACTGTTATCAAGATCTTGGCTCTGTGAGATATTCGAATCACTCATAATTGCGATGGAAATTGGTGTTGGGCGCGTGGTTTTGCAACTTGTTGTTGTTGTTGTTGTTGGTGTTTTGGAATTACTGAGTTTAGGCTGCAACTCAATTGCATAATAACTGATAAATTGTTGGGTCCAGACTGTATACTGCTCTTTCTGTGAAAGACTTCTTAAGCATACACAATTTTGACCGATTTAAGAGTCGATTTATTTAAGGTTTAGGCCACACACGTAAAGACTAAAGAATACATTAAGCAAAGGAAAATTTAAAGATTATAAGCTTATTTTATTTAATATTTAAATAAAGCGAAAACATTTCAGCAATTATTTAAAAATATATTTAAATCCTTTAGAAACCAACGAAAATGGGCGCTTCTGACTGCAAAATACTCGTTCACGGCCAGCCCCAGAACTTTGGTTCTTCCAATTCGCCACGCCCAGTGCGCATATATTTATATAACTGGCGACGGTAGAACATTCAGTTTTCTCCGATTTGCTACAGCCCTAGTAAACACGGACATTGACCGAAACTCACTTTTGACTTAAAATTTCGGATTTATATTCGTGTTAATAACCCGCATCTAAAAAGATATATTTCAAAATCTGTATCTCCTATAAATTAAAAGCTTCAGACCTACTTTATTGTTGCACTAAAAACTGTTCTCCACCTCGTCGGGGGCGTGGTATGTATAAAATACCCTGTAATTTCCACTCTTTTGGAGCCTTAACTCGTTACTGCAGACTCCTAAAAAATCCCTGCATTCATTACACGAACCTAAATGGTGAACCAGAAGAGTCTCCAGCATTTACGATATTCAAACTATGCTTAAAACACGCAGCTAATTTATCGATTTTGATCGATAGTAAGAAAATGGAATAAGTTATAAAAAATTAAAAAATTTACTACGTATGGTGTACACGAGTAAGGACTTCAAAGTGTCATGTCTATAGAATTTGTGGCTTACGAGATTGCTGCATTCATATGGGCGGACGGACATGGCTAGATCGATTAAGCTCGTCATCTTGATAAAGAATATATATATTTTATAGAGTCGGCCATGCCTCCATCTGCTTGTTACCAACATATTGCATAAATATATAAATAAATATATACATAGAAATATTGACATTTTTATCTTTTATTTAAAATATTCGTTTATGGTAGCTTAGAAATATTTAACAATTTATTTAGTTAAAAGACATTTACATGACGTTCAACAAAAATGGACATCCATCTCAGTGATTCTGCTAGTGGTGATAGGCAACGGGCAGTGGGGCGGTAGCAACTGCAACGGGGGCAGAGACGGTCTTGACATGGTCGACGGGCACACGGTTAACCACAGCGTTGAAGCCATTTTCAGGGTCCGAGGTGTACTGGACAGTGCGCTTGTAGCCATCGGCATCCACCAGCGAGTACTCGCCGCGGACTACATCGCCATCGCGCTCCTCCACTTGGCTCTTGGAGTCGCCGGAGAGGGCATCTTGCACATCGTAGGCGTACTTGTACTGAGGATGGGGATCGTACTCATCGTCATGCTTGGCCAGAATTGGGTGGGCATGGGCAACAGCCACTGGGGCATGAGCATAGGAAACAGCGGGAGCAGCTGCAGCATGGTAAACCTGCTGGACAGGCACAACCCCAGCGCTGGCGGCGACAAAGAGCGTAAGGATGGCAAGGTACTGAAAGATACGGAGAAACAAATAAGTATGTTTTTAGTGATCTAGCTTTTTAAGTCGCCGTTTACCTGGAAGGCCATGGTGAATGGTCGTATGTATTTTGGCGAATATCCAAAGAGTAACGCGAAAGCAGAAAAGCTGTGGAATGATTTGCAGACTGCCGAACGCTCCGTTTTATACTCCAGCCGTAGCTAGCTAAATTGGAATAATAATTATTTATTTAATTTCATTTATTTTTTGGTTTTGCACAACATACTTTTGTCACTCTTAGGTAATTACGAGTAAAGACACATATAGTACACATATATATATTTATGCAACAACTTCGACATGTAAATGTGTGCAGATTAATGCCACAGGTAAGTGGTGGTCACCAATAGACAGCCACACAATCCAACAACCACACCTTTATCAATTGCTGCCGTTTGACCGCGGGCTAATTCGTGTCTTTGTCGCTTTCACAATTTCACCTTGGGGGCGATATCGAATTAAATGCATAAATATAAACATTTATATCTTCATGCTTGATTGCTCGAAGATAGGGTTGCATATGGTTAGATGATATTTTGCCTAAATTAGTCTGTATTTTTATAATGTCCACATTATAATAATATAATATATATTTAAGCTATATAATATATATGATATATTTTAGCTATTTATATATATTCCCATTTATATTTATAAGAAACAACAACCTATTTTTTTTATAGAAAATAATCACATTTAATTTTATAACCATGAAACCAGAATTAAAACTCTGATCTGTTCAGATTACAAGTTACGAACGGCATAAGCTGGAGCTGTGTATCTCAGAGGAGCTGCAACTGCTGCTGTTCTTAGGGGAGATGCCAGACCAGCTACAAGGGGAGCAGAGCGCACGAAGGGAGCAGCAACAGCAACTGGAGCTGATCGAACCAGAGGAGCGGCAACGGCAACTGGAGCAGCGCGAGCTAGAGGAGCGGCAACAGCAACTGGAGCCGATCGAACCAGAGGAGCGGCAACAGCAACTGGAGCAGCGTTTACCACAGGCTCAGCAACGGCAACGATAGGTTCACGGCGAACGATGGCATTGAAGCCATTGATGGAATCGGCGGTGTAGGTGACGGTGCGCTTGAAGCCATCGGCATCGATCAGGGAGTATTCGCCACGGACCACATCCCCATCGCGCTCCTCCACGTGACCCTTAGAATCGCCGGAGAGGTTGTCCTGTACGTCGTAGCTGTACGAGTATTGAGGATGCGGATCAATCTCCTCCAGCTCAACGGTCTTGGCCACCACGGGTGCGGGTGCCACAGCAACAGGTGCTGAAGTCCTGAGCACCGCTGCCTGCGCCACGCCGAGCATAACCAATGCGAATGCGATCTGCGAAATGGACCACATAAGAGATTAGACAAGTGTCCTAGCGTAATCCATGGGACTCTCTGCTGTACCTTGTAAGACATTTCTTATCGATTTGTTTGGTGCTGTTTGAAGCAGAAGCTAAACACTGAATGTCTGACTAAATGCTAGCCATAAGGTTATATAGTCAACTCGATGACATTGATCAAACCTAATTGGAATTCATTTTTGGCACCGCATTGGAGGTGGTCGGAGCCTGAGCTCGTCACGTATAATTGTCACGTTCGTTCTTCGGTTCTCCAAGTCGGACAATCGTTCAAATGGGAATCTTTAATTAAAAACCCATAGTGCATATTATTTATAAATAAATAAATAAATATATATGTATATATCAACATATATATAGCCACCTGTTTACAGTTATTGCACACATAATAAACATTGCAAATTGATGGTGTGCGAATCGAAATTAATTTTGAATAATAATTAAATTGACCTATAAATGAAATTGTATTAACAATAAATAATTTCATAGTCAATTTATAGTGACTCGTTCAAAGAGCATAAACTAATAAATAAAATAAACAAATAATGGTTTCCACAAAAGTATAGAACTATACTTCCATAGCGCATACTAAACAAGAGCTCTCGATATCCATTTATTTAGCACATATAAACAGCTACCCCGAACCCATTTAAAGTGCCAATTCAGGGAATAATGGTATATTACAATGTCGTGTACATTATATACATTCATGATCTGGACGATAAGCCAAGTGGATCTAGCCCTGTCCCTCTGCGAGACCGACTGGAACGCCCATCTGGAACTGGATGAGTTGACTAGGAAAAAATATTGGTTCCTACTGCGTATGCCCCACAAGTGTATAAAATGCAAGTTTCAAGTCTTTATATTTTATTTTCGTCAATTAAACTCTAAATATTTAGTTTTCTTATCACATATTCCAAGATCATAAATATGCCACTAAATTAAAAAATTATTTGCATAGTTAATCAAATCATTTTTTAAACACATTCGTCATGAGTTGCGCACTTACAAACATTTCTCTATTTTGATAAACTCTTGCATCTGTATGCCACAATACGAAAACCAGTTTTGGCACCCTCAATCAAATGGATTTTACAGCTGACAACTCACAACGCACGCACACAGAGATATAAATGCTTTTGTATTCGTCTAAGTGCATAACGTATTCGCTTTCAATGTAACATTTTCCATACATACTTAGCATAAATGAATTGCACTAATTACGCGACTTCGGCCCCGAAAAGGCATTCAACGATTCGCCAGGTTGCTTGTGGGTTGCTCTATATAAAAGCCAGCAGTCAGCAGCAGCAGACATCACACTTCAACTTGCTCTTAGCCCTCAACAGCAACTCAGCAGCCCATTAAACAGACGCAATGGCATTTAAGGTATGGACACACGTCCACAACAGAGATTTAATTCAAAGCGGAATATTAATTTGTTGGCATTTTTTAACTAGTTCGTCGCCCTCTTCGCTCTGGTAGCCGCCGCCAGCGCTGGCATTCTTCCCGCAGCACAGGTCTACCATGCGGCACCCGCCGTGGCCACCTACGCCGCCCCGAGTGCCGTGGTCAAGACAATCGCACCTGTGGCCCAACACGTGATCACGAAGGCTGCCGAGGAATACGATCCCCATCCTCAGTACAAGTACGCCTACGATGTGCAAGATGCCCTCTCCGGCGACTCCAAGAGCCAGGTGGAGGAGCGCGATGGTGATGTGGTCCGTGGCGAGTACTCGCTGGTGGATGCCGATGGCTACAAGCGCACTGTCCAGTACACCGCTGATCCCATCAACGGCTTCAACGCTGTGGTCAACCGCGAGCCCCTCGTCAAGGCCGTCGCCGTTGCTCCTGTTGTGAAGACCATTGCCGCTGCTCCAGTTGCTCACTATGCTGCTCCAGCTGTTGCGCACTATGCTGCCCCAGCTGTGCTCAAGACTGTCGCCCCCGCTTACTCCACCTATGCTGCCCCTGCTCCGGTTGCCCACTATGGCCCAGCTGTTGCCTACCATCATTAATTTTGTTGATTCTCTCGCTGATCTGTTATGTATTCATAGAAAACAATAAATGTTGTAGATAATATAAAAATAAACATTTCTGAATTTAAAATTGGTTGTAGAATTCAGTTCGATTAAAATTTTAGCTTTAGTTAATATATCTCAGACCGCGCCAAATTTTATTTGAATTCAGATTTTGTATATCTCTGTAGAAATTTGACAACTTCTTTGCCGGCTCCGTTTTTACTTTTCTATGTGTGCATAGAATAAAACTCTATAAAAACTATGTTAATTATTATGTTTTTAGTGTTTAAAATATAAATTTAATTTTTATCATAAATTATATTTTCGGCTAAATAAACTCTGTTCAATATAAAACTGAATTTTTGTAAAACAAACAAATGGAATTAAGAGTGCTTTAGTCTAGACTGCACGACTGGGGGATACCGTGAAGTCTGTGAGCAGATGAAAGTTTTACGGTTTTTTATACTACATTACAAATAACACAAGTACACATTAGCAAGGGCTCAGCTTATTGCGGAACTGCACAATGAAACTTAATTGTTGACTATATTTTCTTCTAGATGGACTTAAAATTCAGAGTGTGATGATAACATTTATAAGCTCTCGAGTCTCTAGTATTTGATTATTTGAAGTATTTTGCGAATTCGGGGCGAGGTATCTTAAATACAAAATATAGAAAGTGTAAATAGGCTGATTCCATATTTAAGGATATGCAAGCTACGCTTAAACAAAGAAGTCAAGTTGTCTTTTTGTATCGATAATAAGCAAATGTGCAAATGGATGTGTTTCCCAAGAAAAAAGATAAACCAATGCGTCACCTTGAGCAGCTTGTCAGGTGGCTTTACTCTTTGGTTAGGCGTTTTATTCGGTAACTTCTGTATTGCCTTACAAATTGTTATTTAATTTTCAGCATGATCTGTTTATTATTTACATTATATTGGATATTTGACAGCTTAGATAAAGGGCGGACTTTCCCATGTTGGCTATATTTACGGCACAATTTCAATTTTAAGGATGTTGTAAGATTTGGAGCCAGTATCCAAAATAATAATATTTCTATTACCATTGTTGCAGGTTTTTGAAAATATTATACTTCCGAATTTAAAAGTAGCACGAATATAATTGGCAATAGTTTCGGCGAAGAACAACACTTAGGTGCGTGTAACCACCATCGGCTAAGAAGAAGTCAAATGCAAAAAAAGGTCAGTCAATTATGAATTCAAAAATGTTTTTATTTTTATATTATCTACAACATTTATTGTTTTCTATGAATACATAACAGATCAGCGAGAGAATCAACAAAATTAATGATGGTAGGCAACAGCTGGGCCATAGTGGGCAACCGGAGCAGGGGCAGCATAGGTGGAGTAAGCGGGGGCGACAGTCTTGAGCACAGCTGGGGCAGCATAGTGCGCAACAGCTGGAGCAGCATAGTGAGCAACTGGAGCAGCGGCAATGGTCTTCACAACAGGAGCAACGGCGACGGCCTTGACGAGGGGCTCGCGGTTGACCACAGCGTTGAAGCCGTTGATGGGATCAGCGGTGTACTGGACAGTGCGCTTGTAGCCATCGGCATCCACCAGCGAGTACTCGCCACGGACCACATCACCATCGCGCTCCTCCACCTGGCTCTTGGAGTCGCCGGAGAGGGCATCTTGCACATCGTAGGCGTACTTGTACTGAGGATGGGGATCGTATTCCTCGGCAGCCTTCGTGATCACGTGTTGGGCCACAGGTGCGATTGTCTTGACCACGGCACTCGGGGCGGCGTAGGTGGCCACGGCGGGTGCCGCATGGTAGACCTGTGCTGCGGGAAGAATGCCAGCGCTGGCGGCGGCTACCAGGGCGAAGAGGGCGACGAACTGTAAAGGAGTGACTGTTGTGTTAGCTGATACTTTTCTTCATTGAGATGGACTGACCTTGAATGCCATTTTAAGGAGCTTGGAGTGCGACTGAAAGCGTGTGCTGTCGGATGGGTCGAAGTCTGCAGTATGATTAGGAATTGAGCAGACTTCGGTTTTTATAGAGCAAACGCAATGGGCAAGTGCATGCGCCGAGGTTGTGTGTTTGCTGCCGCTGCTCATTATTATTAAGCAAATTACACGCAAGCTCAGCTGAAGACAAAAAAGAGCGAAAGGGCGAGTCAAGTTGAATATAGAGCGCAGAGCGATCTGAATACATTGGGGCATTAGTTTGAGCAATGTGGGGCAAAATGGGTCTTGTCTGGCAATTGGACATACTATTGCTCATGCTCACGGACGTATTTGCCGTCGAGGTTCCGGGCTCTGATCTACCCAGCCAGCGGGCAAGAGTATTGCCCGCGGCTATTTAACATTCAATCTTTGTGCGCGACATTACAATTGCAAAAAAATAAAAATAAGAAAACTGTCATTGTTGCTACCGGATACTTTTTGGCATGCCAAAAACCGGTTAGCTCATACGCGAAAACAGTGAAGTAGATCGAGCTATATAGAGCTAAACTATATAAATTACATATCACATAAGTGTGTGCTCTGATTGTTGGCTCTTAAGGCGACGGATCATGCTAATAAGGCTGTCAGCAAAGAAACAACAACCATTCTATGTTTTCCAGTTTGATGACGATTTGAGGCCATTATGCAATGCTCTCTTTCAAAGCCCTTAATAATTTATAATTTATTATAACATGGAGAGTTACTAAAATACCCAACTGAATGGCATTGTGGGAAATACAGGTGTTTCTATAATAGTTTCCCTATCTAAAGAGCTCGTCTAAAATATATTGTCAAATATATGCCACGTTCGCAATGGACGAAGCTATGCACATGTGATATGTGAACTGGCGTTGGTTCAAGTAAGTTAGACTTAAATCGGATTGTAGCTTAAAGAATGTTTAATATAATAGAGACTTAAGCAACATAAGACTTTACTACTCAATTTTATATACTCCCAGTAGACGTGTACCATAAATCTTAAAACTTCAATACATATTTTGATATTTAAAGTCTTAGCCTCAATAGGAGGCTGATTAATTGCCAAGCCCTCAGACAGGCAGCCGGATGGAGAGCAAGTTACCTATACTTTCAAACAGAGTACGATACTTATTTTATTATTTATTATTATTTATTAAACACACTGTGTATGTTAGAGGACACACTTTTCATAAATGTGAACGACCATTGTAACAAATCTGTCTATATATCGATATTTAGTTGTACGTCCGCGTGCCGGGTGCTTTTTGGTTGGGTTCTCTTCAATTACCCCTCAACATATTTTCGAATTGAATTGATAATAAATATAACTTTTCGCAAATAGTTTTTATGCATTTATCTATTTATTAAAATATTGACAGTACAACTATTTAACAAAGCTTAGAGATGTAATAATGTTTAGTAATGGAAATTAGGAATGTAGGATGCAGTAATACTTTCGTCGTCGCACGTCGCAGCTCTAGTGATGATAATAATCGTGAGCAACATGGTTGGATGGGGCCAGCGAGTCGTAGCCAGCATAGTGGTCCTGGTGCTGGTGGTGCTGAGGCTCGTGATCGTGGTGCACGTTGTAAGTGGGCGCAGCATAAGTAGGCGCCACATAAGCAGGCGCCGTTGCAGCCGGCTGATGATATTGAACGGGCACAGCGGGGGCTGCAACAATCAGCTTGTGATGAGTGTGGCCCAGGGGCTCGCGGTGAACGACAGCATTGAAGCCATTGACGGAGTCGGCGGTGTATTTCACGGTGCGACGGAAGCCATCGGCATCATCCAAGGAGTATTCGCCCTGCACCACGTCGCCGTCACGTGACTCAACCTGTCTTTTGGAGTCGCCAGATACAGCGTCCTGCACATCGTAAGCAAAATTGTACTTGGGATGAGGATCATCAGGATAGATCTCATGGCCATTGGCGTGTGCATGGAGGTCATGAGATTTCTGGTAGATCACATGCTGGGGCTGTGGCGCAGCACTGTGGTAAAGCTGTGGCTGCTCGTGCTGCTCCACGGGTATGAGACCACCTGATACGGCAGCGATGAGCGAGACCAGTGCGACGAACTGAACGCACTAAAACAAGCAGAAATTGAACAGAAATTCTTCAAAAAGGAATTCTGGACTTACCGTGAAAGCCATTTTCCTTATTTGATTAAGAGATTTGAGGATTGAAGCTGAGACGCTAAAGATAACTCTTGCTGTTGAAGTATGGGCTGTGAATAGTAATCGAGCATCCATTGCATTTGTATTTATAGGCGAAATTGTTGGTGGCCACCAGGGCCACAGCTTCAAGCTTCATTGTTTCTGGCCTTTCTTTCACTTTTTGGTAAGTTTTATAAATATAATTTGAATTTTATTTCATTTGCATGGCGCTCATTGTGCGGTTTTTTTTAACATTTACCAAACGGGTTGGTGCGCGATCGAATTTGAGATTTGCACCCACGAAACACACCCATTTGGCCGACATGAATGGTCGACGGACAACTGTATGAAATGGGCGGCAAAAAAAAGACTTAAGCAAGCAACTGTATTTTTTGGCTGTGGGGATCGGAGCCGGGTGTTGAGTCGAGTCATGTAAGTAACCCAATAAAGACAACTTGATCGATGCCAGCATTGCACTTGACACACACACCCTTCTCAGCAGCTGTCCACTGCAATGACCTAAAAACATTTATAAAAAATTGGACGAAAACTGGCTAGTTACAAACACAAATAACGGACTCATGCTTACGACTCGACTCGACCCGGCTTGTAATGGTTGAGCTTTCAGCTTGAAGCTTTTGCTTCACTCTAAATTCGTCTTGTGGAATAAGTGCTCAATCATGCCACCAACAAGCGCACACATACACACTTTTATTTTCTATTTTACCTTGTTATAATGTGCCTAATATAAATAGGTGTGAAGTGACTCAACTGTTTGCAAAATGATGTAACATTAAGCAGGTGGCTTAACAAGAGGAAAGAATTTCGTCTAAGGTCGTTTCTTGCAGTATTTTTGAATAGACTGCTAGGAAAATATGTTAATTTGTCTTCAGATAGATCAATATAAAAGAATTCAGATATTCAAATCTTACACAAGCCATAATTTTTTATTAGCTGTTTAAATTCGTGCAAGAATTCAATTAGCAATGGCAAACTTTCAAGTGAGTTCATTGAAGTGATCCCCACCTTGAATGCTGATTATGAAAAATAAATTTAAAATCTGATTTATGAAAAGGGAAAGGTTGAAACACTTTACATTCTCTAAAAGAAAAAATAAAAAACAGCATTAGAACTTTTGGCACAGTTCGTTGCGTCTGACATGCGTCTGGCATATGAGAAGCCGGTTCCTAATAAATTGAGCAACTCATGTTTGGCTCGGAATGGGAAATGCCGCAGCCGGTAATAATTTTATAAAAATATATATAATCAGATAATTATGACATGAAACAATAGCCACAGTCACGCCAATAAGTATTGATACATTATTTGTTGATGGGATTAGTTAATTTTCATGGCGATTGTTGGTCAGTGTACCAAATAAAGCCCTGATTGAGAACCGTAGCCGACTTTGGACTTTCAATGTCGCACCAATTGAATTGCAACAGTTTTGTGCTGAAATCAAATCGTAAAATAGTTTAGGGGTAACCACTTAATGATTTTGATATGTATTGCGATAGGTTTGACTGAACTGAACTAAAAGCAGATTATCAAAACTATTCCTTAATATATAAAATTTTGTCAGCTGAGAATTCAGTGACAATCAATAATTATATCTCATATATGCATTTTTTTATTATTGAGTTCAATAAATAGATATGCAGCAAAACAAACAACGATACCATATAAAATAAGAACAATATCTCAATGCTTTAGTGATGGTAGGCGACGGCAGGAGCGGAGTAAGTGGCATAGTGGGCCGCTGGTGCAGCATAGTGTGCGACCTGAGCGGGGGCGGAGTAGTGAGCAACTGGAGCGACGGCCTTGACGACAGCTGGAGCAGCATAGTGGACAGCTGGAGCAGCATAATGAGCAACTGGAGCAGGCGCTGCATAGGTGGAGTAAGCAGGAGCGACAGTCTTAACAACAGCTGGGGCAGCATAGTGGGCCACTGGAGCTGGAGCAGCATAGGCGGAGTAGGCGGGAGCAACTGTCTTGACCAAAGCGGGGGCAGCATAGTGAGCAACTGGAGCAGCGGCAATGGTCTTCACAACAGGAGCAACGGCGACGGCCTTGACGAGGGGCTCACGATTGACCACAGCGTTGAAGCCGTTGACGGGATCGGCGGTGTACTGGACAGTGCGCTTGTAACCATCGGCATCCACCAGCGAGTACTCGCCACGGACCACATCACCATCGCGCTCCTCCACCTGACCTTTGGAGTCGCCAGTCAGTTTATCGTCGACGCCGTACGAGAAGCGGTACTGGGGATGGGGATCGTAGGTCTCATCGGACTTGACTACCACCTTCTGGGCCACAGCCAGGGGGGCACCATAGGTGGCAACCGGAGCAGCTGCGTGATAAGCCTCGGGCACATAGCCAGCGCTGGTCAACGCGACGAAGGCGAGTGCGAAAACAAACTGGAAAGCAGTGAGGTAATCCATTAATGTATGTCCGTATTCATATGTAGCTATCCATTGTGTATTCGTACTCACCTTGAATGCCATGTTACTGTTTTTGGGATTTGGCTGAGTTCTTGACAGAGACAAGAGCAAATGTCGAATGATACTGCTTCTGGAGTGCAGAAGGTATTTATAGTCGCAAAGGCGTGCACTGATAGCCGATTTGATTATGTCTGCATAGCGGTAATCTTAATGTGCTTAAATATGGCCTTCTGCATATCATGTTCGAAATTAGCGCAGTCACCACGCCAGCCAGCTGTAATCGAAGAGATTGTCAAGCAGCACAGCAGCAGAGGCTGATGCTGAGGCATCGACAGCGGCAGAGAATGCAATCATAAAAGGTAAATTATTTAGAAAGGATTTGCGATTTTCTTTAACCATAAAAATATCTCAAGTGATGCAAACCCACAGACAATTCATAAATTGCATAAAATTGCATCTGCCCATGTGAAAGATTATACGGTTCACAATTGAACAATTTCATTGCAGTAGGTCTGTCCTTGAACTTTGCATGTACATTCTAAAAACTGACCGCATATCAAAATACGGGCCATATGTTCATATGATGTGTTCACAACTCTGACACATTTTTTACTCAAAAAAAAGGTAACTAATTTAATTGTTACAATTGCAATTTAAGGTATTACGGCAGCAGCCACTGAGTTTTTTGTTTTAGTATATTTTTTTAATTATAATTTATGACAAAATTTTACAATATGAATATTTAAAATATTTCAATGAGTTGGCTTACTGCAATCCATACCATGTTTAATAACTCGCATTTATTTTAAAATATTAATTTCTTCATTGTAGATAATAAAGTAAGCAATATTTAATATATAATTTGTGATAAGTCAATAAGAAAATTATACGTGTTAAAATTATTTTTTGCGTGTTGAGTTTTGTATACATTTTATAGATTTATGTGGGTATATGTATAAATATATGTAGCGATATATTTATGTCTACTTATTATTGGGTTCAATTTATTTGCATTCACTTATAAAAATTAATTTTTAAGCTGTATATTAATAGAAATATTGAATTTATTAAATTTATTAACTATTAAATTAAATTTAGATTTCGTTTGGCATTCATCATTAAGATATTCAGATAAGTCGCGACACTTCATAATTTCAATTTCAGCAAGTATTTATATGTAATAAAGAAAGAACCGTTAAGCCCTGCGTTATCTACATATAAGCTCTGCACGCATGCTGTTTCTATTCTTGAGGGATCTTTCTCTTTTTTGGTTCTACGGCTCTCGTAGATCAAACGTGATTATTATAAGCACACCCACAGTACCTTCGAACAGGAAGTAGCAGTAATCGCCAAGCAGCCAACAATCAACGGCATAAGCATTAAAATGTTGCTGTCACCATGAAAATAAAACGCTCACTCGCAGCTGCGCAGCCGCGTCGATGATTTGCTATATAAGTTAAGGCTTACGCCCAGAAATGTATCATTTGCAGATCAAGTTCACTTCTGTAAAGAACTCAACCAAATCCCAAAAAACAGCAACATGGCATTCAAGGTGAGTACGAATACACAATGGATAGCTACATATGAATACGGACATACATTAATGGATTACCTCACTGCTTTCCAGTTTGTTTTCGCACTCGCCTTCGTCGCGTTGACCAGCGCTGGCTATGTGCCCGAGGCTTATCACGCAGCTGCTCCGGTTGCCACCTATGGTGCCCCCCTGGCTGTGGCCCAGAAGGTGGTAGTCAAGTCCGATGAGACCTACGATCCCCATCCCCAGTACCGCTTCTCGTACGGCGTCGACGATAAGCTGACTGGCGACTCCAAAGGTCAGGTGGAGGAACGCGATGGGGATGTGGTCCGTGGCGAGTACTCGCTGGTGGATGCCGATGGTTACAAGCGCACTGTCCAGTACACCGCTGATCCCATCAACGGCTTCAACGCTGTGGTCAATCGTGAGCCCCTCGTCAAGGCCGTCGCCGTTGCTCCTGTTGTGAAGACCATTGCCGCTGCTCCAGTTGCTCACTATGCTGCCCCCGCTTTGGTCAAGACTGTTGCTCCCGCCTACTCCGCCTATGCTGCTCCAGCTCCAGTGGCCCACTATGCTGCCCCAGCTGTTGTTAAGACTGTCGCTCCTGCTTACTCCACCTATGCAGCGCCTGCTCCAGTTGCTCATTATGCTGCTCCAGCTGTCCACTATGCTGCTCCAGCTGTCGTCAAGGCCGTCGCTCCAGTTGCTCACTACTCCGCCCCCGCTCAGGTCGCACACTATGCTGCACCAGCGGCCCACTATGCCACTTACGCCGCTCCTGCCGTCGCCTACCATCACTAAAATAATGATGGCTTTCTAGAACTCGTAATTAGAATCGTTGCTCATATTACTGTACATTTATTTATTGTCATCAATAAAATAATGCATACATGTATGTAACATAAAATGAATTTTAAATGTTGATTAAATTTTAATTTGCATTCAGTGCAGTAAACAAGGGAGAACAAGAACTGGATATTATTGTGATGTGGTGAATATCTGTTAATTAATAGTCATATCATCGGAATGGTTCTTTTAATTTTTTTATCTTTGTATAATATATTAAGTATTAAGAAAGTATTGAACGGAAACGAGATTTAATAAGAACAATTCTATTAGAACAAAATATATAGAAATGATTGGAAACGATAAGGAAATTTAATGGGACATTTTCAGTTACAATTTATTAGTTAGCTTGTATAAGGTAATATAATAATAATATTAAGAAATAATAATAATATTAAGAAATAAAACATTTAACTGTTTAATATAGTAGGAGGCCTTAGCTGCTGTCTCCGCATTCGGAACGCGAATTAAAATAAGCAATAATTATATGAATGGCATTTACTTGGACACGCAATTCCAATTGCAGTTGTTGATAATTGGTAAGGTCGTTCACATTCATGCGCATTATTATCCTGTTTAACTGCCTTCCTTTATTGTGTGTGTGTGCGGGGCTCATAACTTGTTTGTCAGCCTGCCGAAACAACGGAAAACTTCACAGACATAAAAAGCATAAAAGAATTGAGATCGTGGTATTTGTGCTGCAATTCATGTCCTGTAGTCTGGTGTCGGCTGGGCCTTTGTTTGAAATTGAAGTTCCTTTAAGGATATTTCATGGTGCTGTGGCTAAGCTCTTACTCGCACCGGGAGTGCAACGAACTGCCTTACGTAGGATCCTCATCCGTCAGACAGTCTGCAGATAAAACTCAAAATATCTGTAAGCCAGGTAGGCAGGCAGACAGAGAAGTTGAGTTTGCTTATATGCCATTGCCGGGGTGACAGGATTTCGCTAAGCAGGGGTCATGACTTCAATTTTGAAATGATAAATACTGGACTTTGTAGCATTGCATACAAAGGAATCGTCCACAAATATCTTAGAATCGAAAGTCGAAAATCGAAAATCTCTAGTTTCCCACAATCATCCCAAATCATTTGCAAGCAATTCTAAAGCCCTGTAGAAGATAGCTCTGTGCACCTGTTGCTTGTGGCTTCCTGAGAGACAAGAACTATTCTGTTGGGGTGCTTCAAGGTCGAGGCGTTGTAAGCACAACTGGCCAACTGCTACGTGTTCAGTCGGACCCTTGCAAAAGAGAGATTTCTGTTTCTGCTTAAATTCGAGACCAATCAAGTGGAAGATTGCACGTTTTTTAGGTGCGCACACATCGAATATATCGACTTGGTCGGGCGAACCCTTCTCAAACTTCATCATCATCATTATTATCAACTGCTCTAACCAAAACTCCAAAACAATGCGAACTGACAATGCGAGCAGACAAAACTACAATAAGAAATATCAAATAAAAAATAAACAAGAAAGACGATACAGCTCCAGCATGCCGAGTTTTAAATACCCTTAAAGAGGAGCATATATATATTATTCTAGTTGGCTAATTTAAGGCAGTAATGGCATTTTAGATTTGTCATAGACAAAACTTATTATAGGAACAATAGATTAATATTGATCAACTATTTTCTATTACTATAATAAAATTTTAAATAATACGAATAATGATATTTTGAAAATCAGTAACATTTTTTATATTAGAAGCAATTTCTAAAGAAATTTGCACTTTGTTTTAATTAATTGTTTCTATAGAATGCGTATGATACGTATAACATATTGAGGGAATATATAGAGGGAATTGGCTAAATTCTTTGTGAGTTCATATAACTCTCTTTAATGCCTCGCATATTTCACTGAAAAATTAAAGCATCCCCGGAAAGCGTATAATAAAAGTAAAAGTAAAAGGACTGCCGTTGCCGAATGAAGCAGCTAAACAGGCTTTCGCAGCTCGAGAATCCCTTATAAATAGGATTGCACTGCTTCTGGCCGTCTCATTCAGTGTTTTGTGCTGAGTCAAAGATGTTGGGCTGACGGTCAGCAATCGCTCCTGCCGAGGACAAGCAACAGCCACCGATTGGGTTCGCGAGCGCAACGGCTGAACAGTGTTTCCGATGTGAGGCTGTGCAACGCAGAATGCTGCTCTGTAAATTGTAAGTAAGAATATTTAATTCATGGAAATCGATATTATATTGGATTTAACCTTTCTCTCTTAGCTTGAGGCAACGTCGAACAAGAACCAGTTGGCAGGGATCTGCAATAACATTTAACTCAATTGGAATGTAACTGAGCCCCAACACCGGCCCAACTTCCCACACTCGGCACACAACACCAACAACACTTTCGGCAGATATTTGGCATATCACATCTAAACATCATCCAGCAACCGGCAACCAAGACCATTAAACGATGAAAATTGGCCCGGCGGCCACTTTTTGGCATTTCACATTGTTAACCAGAGGCCGATTCGTCATTTTGCACTCATCCCAAGACATTGAATCGCACGGAACCATTGGCAGAACCTCCAAATACATTTTCAGTAAAACAGCAAAATTAACATTTGTGATTAAGTTTAGGTGTAACCAATAAACACAACAAAAACTACAATAGGCTACCAAATTGGCTCGTGTGTATTTACTGAACAACAAAGGCATTGTTTCCTCCATCTACAGAGTCGTCAGAGTCATCCCCATTCGATAAGCAAACAACATATATATAGGGTTAAATTTATATTTACGTAAGCTGAATTGAGGAGGACAACTGTCAGTGTTTAGATACAACTGTCTTTGTCTCACTCTTACGCAGTGACAATTTGAGGATACACGCCAGAACCGAGCAGCCTACAGCCAGGACACAAACTCCATCGGATAATACTTGCACAAAAGCTCTCACGAGCTGTAAGCCTCACATGAACACTATTGCAACATTAGGAGGCAATCATGAATTGAGAAAATAGGAAGCAGATTTTACATAAGATTTCACACTTTTACGTCATATCATATTAGCCATACGACATATTTATATTTTTGTATATCAACAGAGTAGGTCAACAGTAACTCATACGGCTTTTCCCGAATATATCCGAATATCAAGTCTATAGGTTCAATACGGGCAATATGGTATGGGACAGACGGACAGACATTGCTCGAAATCAATGATCTTGAAAACTTGTCAGATATCAAAAGGTTACAGTTACTCATTAAAGTGTTGATTTAATGCTTTTAAAAGAGGATCGATCATTTTACTGGCACTTCAATGTTTATTTATTAGGTATAGTAAACTTTCAAATATTCACTTTGCAATAGGGCGCAATGGACTCCAAATTATCCGTCCATGGTTCAAAAATAGCAAACTTTATTCAAATATTTTCGATTTGCACTGAGACGATGGGACAAATGAGTAAATATTGTAAATTGTAAGTTTGTATGGAAAGATGGGCACTACATAAAAACATCTTCGCCATTCCCTACATGACCAAGTACCAAATTGAGTTAAGAAATAGATTTCATATCAACAGTGTGATATATAGAAACCCCTTGAATTTAACCCACAATTCCTCGGCAACGTGCATGACCATAAACACAATTAAATCGAAATTGGCATTCTTAAAATATAAAGGAACACATGAAATGTATACGTGTCTATATAACAAATATCGAATCGACCAAACATTTTATTTAATACCTTTTGTAAGACTTTTGGGTTTTTACTTTTTTTTTACTATATTGAATATATGTCAATTTCGTAAAAATGCAAACTTTTTCACACATTGGTTATACGTGCAACTGATCTTCAATTAAAGGGATGCTGCAAAAAATTTAGGGCCGGTATACAAAATATATTATATTAAATATACATGAAACTACATGCACAATTTATAAAAATCTAGCTCCAATGACGTTCGAGATATAATTTAATAACTTAAGATCGAAAATATTTATAATCGATTATATTGAAACGGCAATAGTTATCGATTATATATGAATAGCCGGACATGAACAGGCAGATGATGTGCACTGAATCGACGCAGCTCCCCGTCCTCATCTATAATACACATATTTTATGTTACATATATTTTAATCATACCCTATTTTCAATGGGTTCAGGGTGTAATAGTGCTGTTACAGCACCCACATTAAGCCAACAACTTTTTCTCAGTGTAGAAAAACGATATAGTTTAGTTTAATTAAAATCTCAATGTGCAAATTGCGATTATAAAAAAAATAAAAATAAGCATGAAAATATTTTAATAACATATATTTCGTTATGATTGCCTTACACAAATGCCGCCACAGTGGTATGTGAACAATAATTTATGTATATCAAGGTCAGAGGGGCCCCACAAAGGCCTATGACTTGAACTTATGGATCAAAACAACTAAGCCACATGTTTGTACGAGTGTGTATATGAGTGTAAAAGTAAGTTAACTTCAAACTGGTTTGCATTACTTTAATTGTTATTATTTCACTTGTTGGCCAGTTGATAGCTCGACGTTGGTTGTTGGCTTGCACAGGGCCGTTAAGGTCCAGTATATATATATATATAATATATAGCTGACTAACTGCTCCAGTTAGCTTGAAAATTCCCATAAAACATAAACATCACAAGCTTGACTAAATATTTGTACATTTTTTGTCGTTTCTTTTGTCGTTGTTAACGTGTCCAACAAAATGCAATATCTTCAAGTGTTTTGACTTTAACGACAGCCCATCAAATTTATGTTTAATTTTTTGTTATTAACCAGCTCCAAATTCCAGTTACTTCGCCTCGCTATTCGTCAGATACAGCTTGACTTGAGTTAAGATCATGCCAAATGCCAAAGCTAAAAGCCACTTATTGACGTTTGGCTCGCTACCGAACCAATTTCAGTACGAATTTCAATTTAACGGTTTTTATAACCTGAACCTGAGCGGAGCTGAGTCATATCCGTTTGAATCTCCGTCTGTTCGTCTGTCGGTAACTACAAGCGCGTCGATCCCAG